CTTTGGTTTTAATTATAATGTATATAATATTATATAGTATATATATTATATATATTATATATATTATATATATATTATATATAATTAATAGTAATTATATATATAGTTGATTTTATTCTATTTTATATCAAATCATAATCTTTATATATTTCCTTAATAAATTATATTTATTCTTTGTAAAATAAGTTGCTTGTAGGAATAATTATAATCAATTAAAATTAAAATTTTATTATTTTATTTTCTATTTTATATCAAATCATAAATCTTATATATATTCCTTAATAAATTATATTTATTCTTTGTAAAATAAGTTGCTTGTAGGAATAATTATAATCAATTAAATTAAAATTTTATTAAAAATAATAATTAAATATATTATATTTGTGTCATATTTAATGTATACATTATATAGTATAATATAATCAATCAAAACCAACCATGTGTGGTCTGATCACTTATATGAGGAGTTGGAAGTTCGAGTTCAAGTATTCTCGACCATAAAAATTTTCACCAATTTGTAGCCTGAGTGTTATCTTGATCCATTCGGCCTCCTAATAATAAAAAAATACAACCAATCAAAATTAGATTAGCTTTATTTTTTCAACAAATAATATTAAAAAATTTTATCATTATATTCTTACGTTATTTGATATATACTTTTTATATAATATAAGTTTTTAATTTATTCAATAGAATTTAGATTTTAATAAGAAATTAATATAATTAATTAAAATTAAATTATTTTTATATTTTTAACCAACAACATTAATCTTTAAAGATATGGTTTTTTATTTTATCCAATAAAAAATTTAAATTTAAGTAAAAATTTTAATGACATTAATCAAAATAACTAGCTTTATTTTTTCAACAACCCCTTTAAGACAATTCTTGACATTCAAATCATGAGCTATAAGGCAACCCTATTCTTATAGCCCTATTCTTACTTTCATGCTCTATGTTGTTTGGTCTTATGTGCTCCTTGTATTCTGTGCAAAAAGTTTTTATTAGTATATTATAGTATCACTTTGCTTTTTACTCTTCATGACAGACTGATATTGTACATTCTTAAATGTACTACTGATGAATACTGATTGTACAATCTTAATATTGCATACATTGAATTATTATTTATTCTCTTGTTATATTCAAATATACCAAGCAATACTTCCCATAAAAGAAATGAAATATTAGATATCCATTTTTCTTTAATCAGAGGTCTCTAATTCGAGATCTAAGTATGGAGTCCCTTTAAGCATTTGGAAGAGAGCGCTTCACTCCCTTTGTGAGCCTTTTCAATGCAAATTTCGATTAATGGAGCCAGTGCTTTACCCTTTTGTGGGTCTCCTTAGTGCGAATCCAGATTAGTTGGATTAATGGACTTTGGATATTAGATGGTTAAAACTAAATATACCTATCAATATTTTTATTTTAAAAATTTAATTATGTAGTTTTTCATTATTATTTCCATTTTATTATTTAATTCTTTTATTAAAGAGCCTAATAAAAACAAAATTAAGAGAATGTAATTAAAATTTTTAAAATAAAAATTTTAATTAACATATTTGAGTATATTCAAAGGATTAAAAATGAAAATCATAATTAGTGTATTTGATTATAACCGAGAAACTAAATAATATTTACTTATTTCATTATGTTTTAAATTTTACGGAGTGGGGTGTGTTATTATGATTGATTAACGAGTACCCTTAATTTAGTTGGCAAACGGCAATTCTAAGTATTCTAACATGAACTTACAACCTGTAATTAATTAGGAGAAAACTTATAATTAAGTAAACTTATGATTGATTAACGAGCCATAGAAAAAGTTTACTTATTAAGAAGGCAAAAAAATTTTATAATCTAGGACTTAAAAGGAAGATTAATATGTGCTAATTTTAAAAAAAAAAAAAACGAAAATAATTACACGTGTATAAGCTCAAGTATTTAGGAAACAAAGTAGTTTAACTAAACAACAGCATGCCCAGTCTATATGAAGTTTAATGTTGTAATCGAATCGAACCTAATTTTTACCAAAATCTTATTGACAGTATTCGAACTTAACAAAATAACCTTCAAAAAAGTATAATTTTAGTAAAACCCTTATATCGAGAAAAATAGAATTGCCCTATTTATAAAATAGAAAAAAAAAAAAAGAAAAGATATATATATATTGTTATATAGATTGTCTGTTATAGACTGAAAACCAATTATTGTGGTGGGTAGAGTGTCTCTATGTTTTACTATGTTGAAACTTCTAAATTACTACTTATCCTCAATCGTATTCAGTAGTCTCAATCACTCCAAGAAGTAGATTAGTCTCATGGCCCATAGCATTAATGGTTCCTTCAGCTACTGATATGGATTTTTCCCATTTGAATCATCATTTTATATAGGCTTTTCTCACCTCTTCATAACATTTATGTTTTATTCCTTTTTTTTCCTTTAATTTTTTATTTGTTATTCGTTCCACTTTGACATTCACCTTCATTTTTTTTTTCTTTTCTAAATTCAAAAATATTTCAAGTTGGTGAATCGGGTATGATTTTATTGATATTCTCACATATGTGAGAAGCGTGAAATTTTGAATTCAAATTCTCTTAATCACAAATATTTTCACCAATTTAGTGAGTCTAAGAGAAGACTACTCCGGCTATGTAGCCCGCAAGTTAAATAAAGATTATATGATAAATTTAATCAAATTTATTTATAAATGAATCAAACTCAAATTTAGTTTTCCAAACCAAAATGAAGTTAGAATTAAATTTTACTGGTTTGACTGGTTATGGCCGTGCTTATGTTCTATACTTCAAATCACAAAGAGATAAACAAAATTGCTCATTTGACACATTCCGCTTCTATATTTTTATTTTTTGCGTAACTGATCAATAAACAATTAATATTATCTCATTCTTTTATATATACGTAATTATTTATTTTAAATAATCGTCTCTTTACCCATAGCACCTCAAAATTTCCTCAAATCAACAATAATTTTTTTATTATAGCTTGTTGTTGCCAAGAAAATAAAATTACATTACAATTGAACTCATCAAATGTTATTTGCAAAGTGCTTATGGAAAGCCCTTATTAAAGAAGAGAGATATATTTATGTGACTTGTTAATTGTCTTTTGGATAGTATTTCACTCAAGTTTGGAAGGGCAAAGGGTTCCAAAGGCACTGCCAATTTCGTCAAGTTGCATTGAGTGAGACACTGCTAGGAGTTTAATTATCTTACCTATTTGGGCCAAAATTGGAAGCTCATGGCATGTGCCTCAAACTTGGTCCAGTTTAACTAGGCCCAACTTGTTTGGAAGTTAGTTAGTTTTGGATATTATTAATAACTAAAACATATTCAGAAATAGATTCAAATATATATATATATATATATTTGGAGAAATTGATTTTAGTTTCTTGGAAATTTTGAGTGTTTAAATTTTAAGAAAATAAATCTATAATAATTGGGGTATGAAATAAAATCAAAATTAATTTAAAAATTGGATATATGGCTGACACATCTTGGAAAAGGATAGCAGAATTTGTCCTTGTTAGAGAACTATACTCCCTCCCCATCAAAGGTCACCGACCCTAATTCCATGTGACCCAAAAATATGTAGAATAACATTATGATAATTAATTGCCACTCCGTCTTCATTTTTTATAATAAGTTCTCATATCTTTACACTATAAATAATAAATTTTAAATTTTTTTTTCTTTTATATACAAAATATTGATTTGATACGTGGTAATACAACATTTCAAACAATAATTTTACGTTTTTTAAGTTTTCGACAAGTGTTCATCGAATTCAATTTTATAAATTGATGTATTTAATGGATTAAATAAAATATTTAATATGTATAATTTCATAAATTGAATTTATGTATTCCGCCCTTAAAAAAGTAATTGACAAAATTTTAGGGTCCATTTCTTATTCTTGCTGCAATAGACTAAAAGATGCAATTAAGTGGCCTGGATAGCATAAAAAAAAAAAAAAAAAAAGTCCGCCCTTTTTAAAAAGTTAATTGACAAAATTTGAGGGGCCATTTCTATTCTTGCTTGCCCAATAGATACTAAAAGATGCCAATTAAGTGGCCTGGATAGCATAAAAAAAAAAAAAAAAAAGTATAAATTAAAATGGCTTTCATAGGCAAAAAAAAAAAAAAAAAAAAAGTAAAATGGCTTTCATAGGCTGCGACATTCCAACGAGAAATAGATGGGTTGTGGCCCTTTGCAGATATCTATCATCTTCAATCCATTATTATATGCACCAAATCCTGTACCTACATGGGGCCTCATCCTCATGTCCTACATTTTAATTTTACCCTTAGAAAATAAATGGCTTTCTTAATTTTCTACCCACTTGTACTTCATGGTACAATTATGCAATTTATGACAATTTTCCCTACTCAATTTTATAATGCGCTGTCACTTGTAGAATCCATTTCCTACTTCATTTTTGGGGCCTTGGCTGAAATATTGAAGGTGGTTCTGGATTGGCTTTCATACTATTTTGTCGTGAAACTATTATTTGCTTTCTGAAAGATCTGTTAAGATGTGCAACGTCCACACTTATAACTTTAAGATTCTACCTTTACCTATCTACGTCCAGTTCCTTAATTAGCTCAAAAGCCTTTAAATGTAAAAGAGTACGAGTCCTAATGCTATGTATGTTCGGGAAGAGGGAGAAAGTAAAATAAATGTATAAAATTACGACATTCACTTTCCTCTCAAACGGCGTAAAATAAATTTATTTTATATTTTCATTAACATTTTCACTCAAATTAAAGAAAAGATTTTGAAAATCTCAATGCATTTTTACTTTCCATTTTACATATTTTCTTATTTTACCTGAATTCAATCAACTCATAAGAGTATGTGAATCGGATTGGATGAAGACATTAGACAGGATAGGGATGAAGACATTAGACAGGATAGAATAGCTACCGCTCTTGAATATAGCATAATTGGGGGAGTAATAATGGCACAAGAATAACAAAATTAATATGTTAATAAAATTGTCAATTAAGTAAATCTGAAGTGAGTTTTGACAATAGCTTTAGGACTCCATGGGACCATGAGACAATGGTCTCAAACAAAAGGTTATAAGAAAAGATTGCAAACTAACCCTGAAAATTACAAAAATTATACTTTCATCCCCAGAATTTCACATATTGTAACACTAAATAGCTACATTTCACTTTACTCTTTTACTTGAAAGGGTCAAGTTAGATCTCTTGTGTAAATTGAACATTTCACTTTTTTTAGGCGTTGAAATGAATTGATTTCTACCTTTTCTTGCATCAGAAACCAAATGTTGCCTAAACATTGCAATGAAAGCTTCAACTCTTTCATTTAACTCCTCTTTGGACAACTTCTGTGCCTCACTATCAACCTTAATGTGCTCTTGCTCTTGCTTTGGCTCTGGCTCATGTACATCACTTGCCCACTTATCAAACTCACAGCATTGCTTATGCACTTCACTACATTGTTTGATTTTACTACATTGTTTGATTTTCTTCTTTTCTTGAATCTTCATATCTATATTATCTTCATTTTCTCGAGTTTCGCTCGAGTTTGAACGGATAGAAGTGAAAAAAATAGCTAAAAGAACAAGATTAAGGATTAAAAAGACCCTCGAGCGCCATTGCTCGATGAAAAATATCAAAAAAACATATTTTAAACATGCCATTGCTAGAGCTGTGCCTGCTGCTACAAACAAAACTTTGTGCATATAATGATCATCAACTTCATACTCTCTTCCGTTTGTTGCTCTCTCACATTCTTTGATATGATCCATTGCGAGTAGTTCTTTTCTTGATTTTTTTTTTTTGTGTGACAATTTGAGAATGGACTTAACAATATAGCTAGGGGTGATATTTATATACGTGAAGAATGGGGAACATAAGAATCCCTCTTTCACTTGAAGAAAATGTTTCTTTTATGGCATGTGTATGAGTGGTAGCTGTGATGATAAGAAGACATGACTAGTGACAAATGAGAGTGCAGGTGCTGGAGGAGACAAGCAAACATGCTTTTTTATGCGCAGTCAGAGCAGTTTTTAAACCTTATGATTGCTCCAACACAGGGATTTAGTTGTGTTTGTTGGGTTCTATGCGTTTTGGCTTGGCGTGCACATCAATGAATGGCATCAACAAAAGCATGCCATTGCTTTGGAATTGACAATGTGCTCTCTGTTGGGTTGGGGCAATGTCCTTTTGTATATTGGATTTCTCCTACTTCACTCTCTGGCTATGTCAAAAAAAAAAAAAAAAAAAAAAAAAAATTCTCTACTTCACTCTCTGGCTATGTCCAAAAAAAAAAAAAAAAAAAAAAGAATACAAGGCTGAAAAACAAAAATTAAACTAAAAGACTGAAAGGTCATTTTCATTTGAACTGCCAAAATTTTTTATATTGTTGCAGCCCAAATAAACTTTCCCCACTTTTATTGAATTGCCAGCCAATAACTTTGTCAAAAGCGTTATTGATACATGTATTAATTTTCATTTTGCAGTTCAAAATGAAAATACCTGTGTGTCTCGAGTCTTATATCATAGATAGTTTATGTTTATTTGCCAGCTTTTATTCTTTTTTTTTTTTTTTTTTTGTAATCATGCAGCCACTGAGATTGGAGCCTCAGACTTAGTAAATGGATTGAACAATCCTCCTATACTCTTAAATATAGTACACACTTGCCCCAGAAACCACTCTATGCGGCAGAGACACGATATGATCAAATCCAAAAAAAGTACTCAATGGGCGAGACTAATGCTCTCTTGAATTCGTATGGTCCTTGCTCACAAGATTTTGTATGGATGGCCACAGACTCCTATTAATAGTGCCACAAAAAAAAGCGTGGGCATTAGAACACCTACACACTCTCAGACAGCAACTACAAATTCTCTCATAGTGTGATGTGTGAAGGCAAGTTCCTATTAAAGGTTTTAAAACTACTGCTAATCTAACTTGCGAAACAATTAACATAAGAATCATAGGTCTGGATATAGTTTTGTAAACTTTGTGTCATACCACCACTAGACACACTGTCTCACTACTTCATTTTTGCTCTATTTAGGTCATGTTTACTTCATTAATCATCGAACATGAATTCTAATTCTCACTCATGCTACATGCCCATAAAAGAAAACATTTTCTATCACAAGTGTAAAGAAAGGAAGGAGATTCGTGTTAATGTCCTCCAAATTCTTATCACAGTTTTAAATTTTTATATAAGAGTATTCACCGTCGTGGCCTTATATTGTTTTAAAGTTCTCATATCATCTTAAAAATTGTCAAGCTACCAATGAAAATAAATATAATTCAATATAGGTAAATAGAGAACTTACTCGGCAATGGATTTCGTTATTTTACTCATACAGCAAATATCATAAAAAAGCTTTAAGCCAAAAAACAATACGGAAAAGAGTGTAGTGAAGAGTTGTATGAAATCTCCAAAGTGATGCCAGGCAAAGTTTTGATTGATCTATGTTATGCCTGAGCACTGAAAACTAGGGTGCTACTTTCTTACGCTCTAGCTCTCCATGACTCGGACTCTTGAATTATATAATAGTAATTATGCTGTTATATTTATTTTGAATATTTATTCATATCGAATGCCCTAAATGGTCGCTATTCTCTTTGAGTGGTTTACTTTTAATCCCTTATATAAGTAAATACTCAAATCTCAGATCTACTCATGTTAGTGTGGATTTTTTGTTTAAACTCCTTGGATCGGATTTTCCAAAACACCATCGACCAGCAAGAAAAACTCTGAGTAACTATATAGAACTCATTAAAGTTGATAGAATATAATTGCAAAAGAATTTTGAAATATTCTCCAACGTAAGAATGAACAAGTTTTTTTTTTTTTTTTTTTTGCTAATCCCACTTAATATTACATTATTTTATACCTGATTTGCAAAGAAAAACAAAAATATGGCAATCGTTTGCAACAAGTTTAGCAATCTTTAATGCAAAGTGTAATCCATTGAGCAATTAGATTTAGCTACTGAATAGAAAACATGTCATTTGATTAAAGAAACACTAATTCATGTTCATTTAATACATACGATAATTATTTAGTCAAATTTAATAAGAGAAAGAGTAATTTAATTAAATTAAGGAGTGTTTTATTATAATTTAAGTGATTTAATTGTTGTTTTAATTACCATACAAAAACTTTAAAAAATAAATGAAATAATCAGAGGAAGTATCATATGCTAAACTTGTTTCTTCTATTCCTGCCACTTAAATAAATGTATGTGATTATTATTATTATTATTATTTATTATAATAAGACAAAATCTCAGAACAGTTGGTGAACCTTGGGATTCACCACACAAAATTCTTACTAGTTGATAGAATGCAAAAGAGATCCCCTGTACAAGTCTGTAGTTCATCTTTTATACTTGCATAAAAAGAACAAAAATAAATATTATAGATAGACTTTAAAGCATGTATTAAGATATTCTTGGGGACACCACAAATTAATCATAGGCTGAATGGAAACAGATGTGATGGTGAAATGATTATGATCAAATTTGCATATAGACAGGTTGGGAGGCTCCTACTCATACGCTCATCTCTTTATACAGAAAAGCACATTTTAACAGGAGCTGGGTAAATTGTTGCTGGGAAATATTAGAGCAGTGAAATGGAATGTGTCAATAAAAAGCACACGCCTGTTTGATGCTAATCACCAAAATTACTAAACCCCACACCTATCATTATTCACCACCAACGTCAACCAACAAGGAATCATTCTCTGGTTTCTTTTCTAAGCTTTCTAGAGTTTTTCAATAGGAATCTGTCGGCTTATGAAAGAAGCTAGAATCTTTTTTTTTTTTTTTTTTTTTTTTTTTTTTTTTTTTTTTTTGTTCTAAAAAGGAGCTTTAATATGCTACACTCAACAGAGACAGTCCATCACTAGAATTTGAAAATTCTCATTTCAGAGATTCCAAAAGTTAAAAGTGAAAATAATGGTTCACTACAGGAACAACCAGCAAGCTTGTAACAATTTCAGGTCAGACAAGGGAATGAATGCACAAGCAGAGTGTATAAATACCAAAAATTCCAGGTGTTCAAGTATCTTCGAATCAACCCAGACGGAATGCCTATAATTTTTACAAAATCTACGCATTAATTTTTCATGAATCCTGAAAGCACATGTATGAGCTATAATCACTGATATCTTTTCAACCGCATCTGCTTTATAGAGGAGCAAGCTAAAAGATAATTACATACACAATAACAGTAATGAATGCTAAACCATTATTTAGCATTTAAATATTATATATTAAGATATTGGTTATCACAGGGTTGATTACTGATGATAGCAGTATATAAGCTTTGCCAGCATCTGGGCAACTATTGAAGATACTATGTACTAAAGATAAAATTGATAGGGATGAGAAAAGGGGTAAGAACGAACATATGTGGGGAAAATTGAAATTTAAAATTTAATAATCGTAACCAATGATAGTGTCTATTTTCTTACTATCAGGCAGGCCGGTTTTATCTAGTTTTTTGAAAAAATTCTGGCAAGTATCCTAAATAAAAGGTTGAGTGAATTTTAATTTGGGTATCACATCCAATGTTCTTCTGTTGACTTAGAATGAGTACCTTTAATTACCACCATCTTTTTCCGCAGACAAAGAATAGCTGCATAAGACTGAAAAGGAAAAGGAATATGAGGTTAATCTTCTAGTAAATATAAACAGGCAAATATAAGGCAATAATACACAGACACACCAAGGCGCAGACGTTGTCAAAGCTAGGCATTATTTTTTTTAAAAATTTGGCAGATGGGGCAGGGTGAATCTAGAACGTATGTTGAAATTTTTTCCCATACTTCGACTAATCTATAATGTGCTGAAAATTTAGAACATTATTCATTTTTTTGGCTCACTAACAAACAACTATGAGATCATAAAAGAAGTAATGAGTATTCCAAACCTTAATTTGCTATTCAATACAAAGGAAGTAATTCTTCCTTTTTTTTTCTGACATTTATGTTCTGGAGGGAAAGGATCTGTCTGTGCAAGAACCCTTAATGCTCAACAGTTGGCCTATTGAGCTGATCTATTGTTAAAAAGCATCATTCTTCATCAAACTAAAAGGAAAAAAAAGAAATGAAAATAATATTGAACGAGAAACCAGTTTACTGGATGAACTGTGAAAGGAAATTTAAAAAAAAAAAACAAATAGCAAATAAGTAAAAGGCATCCAAGGCTCGGCAAATACTCTCAATATCGAATACTGATTATTCCCAGAAAAGTAGGTTAATCTTTAAACTTTCAATTTTTAGATTTCAATTTTTCAAGGATTTTGTCCACTCAATTTGATATGTTGATACAGACAAAAGCATCCATCTGGCTGGTTGAAACCAATTTGAATTGTTAACATCCCTAGTTTGAACCAATTTTCAAACTGAAATTGTTTGGGCAAAAACATTTATATCAAGTAGATTCATTTGGGGCAGAAATCAATTCAATGCATGCGGAATTTCCTTGCATAAGTCCTCTAAACTATCAAGTAAAGAACCAATTCCAATTAATTATGAAAAGAGAAGTCAACAGCACATCAAAAGAAATATCCAAGTTACTAACATTTAAGAAGAGTAATGGAAAAGATAAAAAGAAACCACCACCTGAACGAGCAACTGAGGCCCAACCGCCGACTGTCCCTAGATGATTCATTAGTCACACCAGATTTTCAGTGGCTTGGTGAAATCATTTTGCCTCTCGCATGGTTTCTCCTTTTTACGGTGCTTCTTTTCACAAATTCTTTGATCAGGACTGCTCAAGGCTTCTTCTTCGTTTCTTTGAAGGTGTATTTAAAAAGCCATTGTGGTCAACATGAAGGCCCCTGTTCGGTGAATGCTTTGGGCATCTTCAAATCAGAAATACATCAGTGGTATGTTGACTGACTCAGGGTTAGTTTCATAACATGGAAATGTTGATTCTTGTGGCGCCTCATGATCTGTTTTAGCACCTCATGCACTGACTCCATGTCCTTAGTTTGGGGCAGTTTCTGGACAAAACACATCTATTGATGCCTTAACACTCAATGTGGAACATTTCTAGATTCAGAAGTAGGATCCACACCGGGCCTTAATTAAGAGTTAAACCTGGCATCTAAACGGGGAATGACTTCAACTTT